AGGCCTTCTCTTAAAAGGGAAAAAAGCGGAAAGGTGACTTTAAATGCGTTACCAGAACTGATGTTTACTGATTCAAACCAACGTAAATCACGAACAAGCGTTTAAAATCTATTGTAACGAATCACCACCGTAAGAACTAAAATGAAAGGTGCAGAGGAATCTCTAACAAGGTCTAGAAAACAGCGAACTACAAATACACTACAGGTGCTTCAAAAGTTACAAAAAGAACACACTTAAAAGTTATGAAAGAAAATAACGAAAAACGATTTAGTGTACGGCCTTTCCTTTCAAAAATCTTTAATATTTAGGTACACAACGTGTTAGCGATAAAATTATACAACGAAAATAATGTTACTAAGTGCGTGATTAAAAATACCAGTCCAGCGTAAAAAAATTCGTTTTCGCTTTACCCTTCGTGTTAGAGTTGACAAAAATATTTTACGCACGAGCCCCTTTAATCCCAAATTTTTGGAGACATGTGACCAGCCGAAACCAGGGTGGTTACGGCCGGTCATACTCCCGTAACTCGGGAGAGGAAGAAAGAGGACCCTGGAAGCGAGGTTGTAACAGACGTTCCTTAAATGTTTCTTTAACTGAATTTGGTAAAAAATATTTGAATCAATTTTGGCTTGTGAAAGGATGATGGATTTTTCTCTTACTTACGTTTTACGACTGGTTTTAGCAACGCTTTTATTCTCTTGCGCAATTCCGAAGTCAGGTAACGTATATCGAGTTCAGATTAGAGAGATTTTGGTCTTGTTCGCAATTTGAAGTAAAGCTATTAAAAGAATTCAACATGCCTAAACACATCCTTGAATATTCTGACACATGAAGTAAGAAGTTACTGAAGTTACGTGTGATGTGCTGAGATCTAGTTTAACGTTTTCTGTTTTCCTTCTTCAGAGTCATTCAGAATCAGCAAAAAACCTTCCGATCCTACTACTGTGGTGCTTGGAGTAAACAGCGACCGACTTGAGTGGCGGTATTCTGATGCACCGTGATTATTACGTTCTGTTTTACGGAAAACCGGTGAAACAATTAAACCAATATCATTAAGCAGGAATGGGAATGCGTTCAATCCAAATTCTACAAGTGAATTCGATACTTTGCTTAATGTAACACTAATACTAAAGAAGAGTACAGAGTAAAGATCAACGAGGAATACACCTACTCTATCTTTCTTCTGGATTCTAGTGCCAGAGTGGTGGAGACACACGCAATCTCTATTAATGTGGTCGGTAAGTGAAGCTTTTTCATGAGTTTCTTTAATACTCTTTGTCCTGTGATGCATTTCTTGCGTATTTAAATCAGCAGCTATCTCTCAGTTTGCCTTAAAGGAGAGGTTTTTATTAAAAAATTGCAGGTCCATCTATATGTAAATGTTTTATGTGTCATCAATATTACTCAGGCGTGCAAAAAATGTTCTTCGTCGTGCACCAATTCACGCAGAGAAAGACTTCATGATAACCTTTAGCGTGATTTTGATGCTACAAGTTATTCGCTCTGACAAATAGCTAACCCTCGAAACGTTAGATAAAGAGTCTCTTTACGGTGACCAATTTATCAACATAGTTGATAGAAACCAAATTATCTTGTACAGATCCCCTACCGACGCAGCAACACAGTTACTCTAGAAACTTACCCCTCTATTCACAAATTGTTTTGGTCTCGTTCCTGTGTGTTTGTATCGAGGTAATTAAATATTATTCAATATGGAGACAACTTATGCTCCGGTCGATCCTGTGATTTTTCATAAATTTTAGGGCTCTCTCTCTCTCATGCCTAAAACTTACCCTGAAGGCTATTATCTACCTTGGCTTAACTGCAGAATACCCCGCCACTTTAGTCCACCTCATTTACATGTGTCGGGAGGCTTTAAAGATCGAGGAATAACACAATAAACGTTATTCTTATTCAATGACATGTAAATGAGTGGCAGGGTGTCCTGCAGTTGCTCCTCTGCCTTTCTAAAGCAAAAGGTATTAAAAAAATTAAAAACTAACGCTCACGTGCGTTTTGTAAAAGTTTGATAGAGGGCAAATGTAAGGGCATTTTAGAAAGGACAGCTTCTTTATGATATTCAATAAAACATATAGAAACATGCAAAAGATCTGTACATAAAGGTTACATTCCTTTACAAGAGAGCCTGTGACTTCTGGATTCTGCTGCTGTCCGGGAAAAAGTCAAAGACGTTGCAAAATGATCTCTTTTAAACACTCGTATATCTTGGAGAGAACGACCGAAAAATGATTGAGCAATTTTTCATGAAACCGACGGTAAAAAATCAATAACGGAAGCTGATGCGGCTTCTTGCCAGGGAAACCATTGCCGCCATGAATACATGCAACCTAAATTGATGTAGTGAACTGTTCATCATCCATGGGGTCATCGCTGTTCTGAGTGAAGGGTCAAGGTGTTTTCGTCCGGAGAGAACTATGAATAACATCTCATCAGATACTTTGAACCCGTTCCCCTGAGTTTTTTTTCTAAAATGAGTTTGCCTTAACGACTGCTTTGCTCAGCAAAAATATAAATATGCAAATCTAATATTCAGAGGTTCACAAAATCAATGGCAAGAGAACAAAAATCGATGGCAAACTGAATTCAGAATGGAAGTTATAGAGCTTCTAAACATTCATTCTCTTAGGACTAGGCAGGAAAAGTGATTGGCATAGGGTGGAGAGGGTGGCAGTCGATGTTACAGGATCAACCCCAGTCTTTAGGTTTCCCCCGACAGTTTACTGGTACCAATACACTCTCCTAGGTAGAGAGAAAAACTGTAAGCTAGGAGTAAAGTGTCTCATTCAAGAAATTGATGAAGTGATTCGTTTAGGCTTTCTTAGTTGCCATAATCTTTGCCTCCCTGTTATTTAACAACATTCTTTTAATATCCATAATTTCTTCGAGGGGCAATTATAATTGTAATTAACATATTGTATTATGTAATAACTGTGACGACATCACAAAATCTAGATTCACTGTATTTATCTTAAATTGTTATTTCACAGTCCCTCCAGAAATTACTGACCCACCGGAACCAAAGCCTTTACTTGCCACCAGAGAAAACCATACTTTGACCTGCAATGCATCTGGTGACCCTCTTCTCAAGATTTCTTGGACAAAAGATGGCATTCCTGTGGATAGGTTTAATGTGAGAGGTTACCAGCTTTATTTGCTTAGCGCGAAGTTGGAGGATGTAGGATCATACGGTTGTAAAGCTAGTAATGGATATGGAGATAATGCCACCAGTGTCAGCATCGTTGACATAAGATGTAAGTAGTCTGTCCTGTTTATCTGATTACAGCAATGCATTTGTTAGTTGGTTAATATGCTTTGATTTTAGACAGACACAAATGTATTGTGATTCATGTTTGAACTGTTACACAACAGAATGGCGTGGAATTAGCACAATATAGAGGAAAAAGTATTTGCTTTCTCTCCTTTTGAGATGTAAATACAATTATTTTTTGTTTAGATTGTCCTTGTGCCAAGCATAAAGGTGTCTGTCTCTGTGAAACAGTTTTTTTCATCATTTATGCACATGCTTTAACAGAGTTCAGAGTCAGCTTTGTCATGTGGGCGTGAATTGACTGAATAATACCCAGTAATAAACAACAAACTATCGCCTTCTTTAGTTCTACTCCCGCTTCCCGCCCTCTCCCGCCCCCTGTTCTCCCGGGGTCTGCCTGGATACTCAAGACATCTTCTCATACAAGACTCTACTCTAAAGTATAAGCCTTTCTACAAGGGCTAATTGGAACAATTTGGTGGCCATTCGGGTTCGAAAAATGTTTTTCCGGAACAAACTACCGAAACAAAAAGTTTGAATGACATTTATTTGCTAAAAACCTTCTTCAACCCATAAAAAAATCACCAGTTGAGGGTATAAATGGTTAAAGCAAAAAATAAATAAATATATAAAAGTGGAAACTAGTATTGAAAGTCTCGTGGCCAACAGTCCATTTTCAGTGACTTTGGCAACCAGCTGGTCACAATTTGAGACGCTACTTTCTTTATAATAAACTGATTTGCATGTTGTACGTTACTGAGAGACACTTTTGCTTGTCACACTATTTCTCCTTGCTCCTGCCCTTGCATAATGATCGTTTAATTAGGAGCATTGGAATAACATTACAGAGTGAAGTTTGGACTTCAGCCTTTAATAATAGAGAGCAGTTGAGTTCAAAATATTGGAGTCAAAGCTTTTATCAGAAGTAAGTATCCTGTTGCATTTACAAAGCACGTTTGGTGACCATATCAGGACGAGAAACCCCTTTTATCTAATCTGTTCACCATAGAGTGGTGATTTACTAATTATTGATGTTTGAGTATAAAATGCCTTGCAATTCCTCTCTTCCAGTACTGGCTGACTTGTTAGTATCCTAGTTATCAATCCAAGATGGTGACAATAATCTTTGTAGTAATGATTAAATAAAATCTCTTTTCATAGCTCTGCTTTCATTCAACATTCAGTGAAGAGTTTTTCTTGACTATGAGTTACAAGGATGCTAGAGTTACAAGCAAAGCAGACTTTTGAATTGTAATGAATTAGTTGACAAACCTGTGGGAACTAGTAGACTGGTGCTTTTCTTTTAAGGCAAAGTACATCTAATTTAAAATTAAATTTAGATACTTGGATTTCAATTTTGGGTTTCTTGACACGAGAACTTAAATTATTATTAACAAAAGCGCAAATGATGTTCTGTTAACAATTTTACAGCGCGTATATTAGCTTAGCGGAGATCTGTCCTCTTCGTGCCTCTACGCGTCTTCTCCAGGGTAAGTGGTTTGTCCAAGTATTCATCTGCCTCGGGGTTTTATCTATTTCCGATGGCTCACGTCTATTCAGGACGCTGTCAAAGTGCTCCTCCTACTTAGTGAGTTTCTGGTTCTCCTTGCAGATGGCGTTTCTCTTCTGGTATTTCACTGACCCGCCATCATTGCGAAATGTGTCGTTGGACTTTTGCTGATACTGAGGTCAGCTTGCTATTTGCATTCTGGTCTTAAGCAGTTTTTCCGAAAAAACTCTTATCACTAGGGTGTGGACACTGATGACATCTGCTCCTCTGTAGTCCTTGACGTCAGGCGAAGAGCTCTTTCGCTTTCCGTTGATTAGGATATGATCAATTTGGCTTTTCACGGCTTCTTTAGGTGATGTCCATGTAAACTTGCGAATGTTCTTGCGGTGAAAAGGCGCCTGCTACTTCTAGGTTTGATGTCTTCATAAAAGTCATCCAATCTTTCCCTATCGTCATTCATTGTTCTTACATCGCGTACCCCGATCCCGGTTCAGGTCACAGTGTTCATAGTAGGGGTCTTCTTTTTCTATACCTCGCTGTCAGTTTGGTGTACTTTGAGTTGTAGCGAGCATCAAGCAATCTTAGCAAATGGCTATACAAAAACTTTTCTCCGTAATTGCCAAAAACCAGTTACAAATAGTAACGCTCTTGATGAAAGGGAACCAGCGATTGGTTTTGCTGTTATTCCTTACATACAGGGTGTTACGGAACCCATCAAGAGAATTTTGAATAGCCACAACGTTAAAGTTGCTCAAAAACCTTTTCAGACTTTGGGGCATATTTTCGCCAAACCTAAGGATCCTGTCACGAAAGAACGACGAACCGACGCCATTTATTCTATTCCTTGCAATGACTGTGACAACGAATACATCGGACAGACCAAACGTCAGTTTGGTACACGGTTAAAAGAGCACCAAAAAGCGGTTTTTCTTTGCAAAAAGGAAAATTCAGCTTTATCGGAGCATACATGCCTAACCAACCATACAATTGGGTGGGATAATTCTAAAATTATCACCACTAAACGGCGTTACCACCAGCGCCTTTGTTTGGAGGCTTGGCATATTAACTCCGCCCACGCTCCTTTAAATCGAGACGATGGCGTTTTGCTTACTGACGCCTATTAACACCTCATCAGAAAAAAGGCCGCTAATTAGCGATCATATAAAAGGACCTCTTGTTGCAGCGTTTAGATCACCCCTGATGAAGGCACTAGACAGGAGTGTCGAAACGTTGGGTCTATGAATTGTAACTTCTTCGGTTACATTCATTAAATCTGCAAACCAGAGTAGCATCAAACTATGTCTGATTGTCCACCTGGTTGCCGTGTGAACTTTAATATATTTTAAATCTTAGTCTTGTTTGCTGGCATTCAGTAAGTGTTTTTCCACATTGCTACGCATGATCATGGCCACTGCTTCCGTGTGCCAGTCATCTTCTCTGCCCAAATAAAGTATGGTGAGGCCTAAAACTAGTTTCCCTTTCCCTGTTCTTCTACATCAGGCTTCACTTATTTCAAGGATGTGTAGATTTTAGTTGTCAGCCTCTTGCCCAACCCTCCTCCTTCCACATCCAGGTTTGGGACCGGCATAGACTGAGTTAATGTAGATAACTGTGACCCACATTTATGTCTGACTGGAATTCACTTGCTTATTCGCTGAGGTTACAGAAGTGCTACTCTGACTTCCGGCGCAATAAATTTAACAAGGTTTCGTGCGAAAACTGTTCTTCCAAAGAAAAATTTAGATAAACCTTGGTAATGTTCCAAGGATAATTCGTTATCCTTTGTGCCTATTAAACATGCCTACTGATTGCTTAATCCTTTTCCAGCTGTCCCCTTTACAAACGTTACGTCCACAAGTGAGAGACAGCCTTATTATTTTGAAATTAACGAACTTTTTAGCTTTTAAAAATGGCGTGCCTAATTTTTCTTTGATGATATAAGTGGTTATCAACTGGTAAATTTAATTATTGATAGCTAAAAAGGTTTCCTTTTACAACATGTAAAATTATGCCTTAATATTTCAAAACTCTCTGTTAAGTCGTTCCCTTAACAAGCAATACGGTCTCAGGTGAGAGGGAATCCGTTTCCTTTCAAATCTTTAGCTATTTAAATTATTGATTCTCAATTTGACTTGAAAACAACCTTTTTGAAAAGCCCTGAGACATAAGTTTATGTATATCATTGGATCTCATAGTTTAATATTTTGTCACCCTATGTACCATGCAAATATGTCTAATGATTGCATATTTTCCAGCTTTTCCCTTCACAAAAGTCTCGGCCAAAAGTGAGGAGTAACCTTGTATATTTTCCAATCAACTAACTTTTCAGTTGTTAAATATTAGATACCAAATGTCTCTCTCAGTTTTCTTGTTTATAGATGCGAAATTGGTTATTTCTGAATAACCTAAGCAAATTGGGAAATGGCTTATTTAACAAATAACCAAATACCTAAATGTATTTATTTGCTAAATGACCAAATTGCAAAATTGGTTATTAAACAAATGACCAAAAGCATAAGTTCGTTTATTGGGTAAGTAATCAAAATGCATAATTGGTTATCAGTCAACTAACCAAAAAATAAATGTGGTCAATGGCCAAATAACCAGATTGCGAAATTGATTTTTTAACAAGTAACCAAAAGCATAAATTCGGTTATTTGCTAAATAAGCAAAATGAAAAATTGGTTTTTTCAACAAGTAACGAAAACCGTAAATGTGGTTACTTGCTAAAGAACCAAAAGGATTAAATTGGAAAAACAGGTTATTTTATGAATAACCAAAAGATTTTCACTGCTTATTCAATAAATGCCCTATGGATGAAAGAGGTTATTTACGAATCACATACTTGATAGATGTTTGTTATATTATCTTGAGTGTAAAAATGGTCATTTAACAGAACTGGTTACTTACCTTAGTTAGTCTTATTACGTAGCCACGTGGACCATCTACCTGTTCATTTCATATAGTTACTAGCGGTCTTCCATTTTCACATAGCCTCATCCAACGTGGATGAAATTGTTGAAAGAATTTCAAGTGCTGTGTTAAATGCTCTTTTAGAGAAATTTTCAGAAACAGGTATGTGTCAAGGGAAATTGGGAAGATTTCCATATAGCCTCATCCGTTCTAAAACAGATCCGTTGTCCCAAGGGCAATCTATTGCTTTTGCGATTATTTTCTTTATCTAAAACAGTATGCATAATGAAATACAGGCTGTGCGGAAATAGTGTCATGAAATATTATTGTGTCTTGTTTTAGGAAATGTTGTGTTAGCAATTAATTTTCAACAGAAAGTAAGGCTTAGGAACATACTTGATATGGTCTGTTGGGATGACGGTGTTGTTTTGGAAATATTTTTGTGCTTCTAAGCTGTAAATACATTTTCCTATCATGAGGTTTGATTATTTATTGATGGATTGTGATTTTCTCTGTTTTGCAATTGTTTTTAGGACGATCATAATTTACTTTCTGATGAGAGATCAGCTGCTGCCAGTGTCCCCATGTCCCCGGGCCATTGCTGTCTTCCTTTCTTCATGGCTCAAGGCAAAACCGTGAAACGATTGAGAAAAATTGGCGCCTTAGCGAATACGAGCTTCCTCAACAAGGTCAGCACAAGGAGAGTGGAAAATTGTTGCCAAAGATGTGGTATGCGTGTCATATGAGGAGGGTGACTTACTGGCCATTTCCGACGAGGAGCGCGAAGAGCCAAATTGGCAGAGTTAATCCTGACTTTAAATCATACGCGAAACAAGGCAGCAACTGCAAAGAAAATCTCGAGTATTTTTAGGAAAGCTTTCAATTTGAAAGAAGATGGGAAAATATCCTTTCAGTATCTAAGGTAAGATAGTCTGGTTTAAAAAGAAGGAAAACGAAACAAAGAGTGCAGTCACCTAAGGGTTCAGGGGATATGGTAGTCTGTTGTCCAAGTTGAAAACCGAGCTTGAACTTCGAGGCATTTGTAAGATGTCTATGTAGGTATCCATTAACTTAGCTATGGCCTTAGGTAACAATTCAGGTAGTTCAATGTTGCCTTTGTTGGAAGAATCCAGGGCCTTGAACTGAGTGAATAGCCTCCACTATCGACTGCGTCTTACATGAGAACTATTTTCTTCAGTGCACACCAGCCA